TTGTGCAATTTGAGCAAAATATAACTAAACATTACCAGTCCAAAGTTCAGAGCACAACACCGGCATACAAAATAGCAAAAAGCAATCGGAGACGGTGTGCACAGTGGGCCTTGTAGAACGTATTTCGTTGCAAAAATTATTGCTCATTGATATTCAATATGCCTGAATTATTGTTCTGCCCTCTTTCCGTACAAATAATTAAAAAATTAACGCAATAAATTTTAATGACTTCTAAACATTAAAAGAAGTTTCAATATAAGCAACAATTCTTTAAGATTATTTCACATTTTTTCTGAACAAGAATACCCATTCGAGAGAGCTCGTCTGGGCGATACCAGGTCTTAAAAACATGGTAGCTGTCTGATAGTAGTTTTGTTAACAAATTCTGTGCTTCTTATCAGTTGATCATTAATATGTCTGGGTATATTACAGAACAATTGAAAGGCTTTGCCTTTTTTAACGGGACAGTTATCAGAAAAATGAAATAAACTTATTCAAAGTACTTTATCTCCAGCTAGTCGCTAGCTCTTAAAGTCTCTGAGATCACCAATTCGTGTTTTTCTGTTCCCATTGCGCTTTGTGGCAACGCAAACCAAACCTTTTGGACCACAGTGCGCCGTTATTCAGAATCTTGTGCGGTATTCTCTCAAAAAGGTAGCAACGTTTGTTTTGACGCATAATTAATAACGCAAAATTCTTTTTTGGCTACTAGTCGTACCATTATACGATTATATAAGTATGTACTTTTGTATATTATAATTGATCTATAATTAAGATAAGCTTAAATACAACTGTCGACTGAACGCTTGAAAAATATGTTTTATTTACGCAATAAACCTTAAATACACGTACTCACACACCCAGACACACACCTATCTGACGAATGTGTATGAATCGAGTGGTTCAGATAGAAAAAGTATTAAAAAAAAGAGCTCAACTCACAATGCTTTAATGGTCAAGGACAATAAATACGGAATATCATCGGGGGGTACGAACTACTAATTGGTCGCCAGGCGGAACAGAATCATTCCCATTGCCACCTTGACGCTGCGTGTGCGGTGTGTAACTATGATTGATCAATCACATACACACACACACACAGACACATACAACATACCCATAAATATATGTATATCTGAATGTCTGATTGTGAGTGTGTGCGTACGATGACTGCTTATTGCGGGGGATTTTGTAATCAGTTTGCTTGCCTGCCATATCATTAGTAAATAAGTGTGGCGAAAGTTTTAACATTTTAAGTAAACAAATAGCAGGCATAAGTCGGCTTGATCGAAGAGTCTTCAGCTATAAGAAACTTTCCCAGTGTTTGTTTTCTTACAATTCCTAGTAAAATGAGCTCTGCTTATAAAAATAAACATAAAAATGTTTCACAATTATTGCGAATCAAATGCTGAGTGACAATTGAATTTACTATATACGCAACGTGTTCTTGTCGAGAATGTCCGGTTAGAAGACGACTGCTATTCAAATTTATTTCTTTGCTGAAAACAAAGGCCACACATTTCTGACTTGATATATGCACATATGTAGCAGAACCTTGCAAAATCATTTTTCAATCAAGATCATTTTTTGTAAAATCAAGAGAATTCCAAGAATTACAAATGAAGAACCGTTGCTACTTTTTCGGCACAGCAGAAGTTAATAAATTTCTATCACTTTTCACCGTAGATTTTTTTCGATTGAAAAATGTAATAAATAAACTTATTACAAACATTGGTCTAACACATGTTGCGCAACAGCAGAAAGGCTATGAGATACATCTCGCTTCAAGCGCATTCAATTTAATGGTTAACGCAACACACAACGTCAAAAATACAAAATTACACCTTGAACTTGAATATTATTAGCAACAATCACTCGTCGATTCCATTCACACAGTTTCAATTCAAATAAACACAATTTGCGTATATTTAATACGCATCTCAATTTAAACGAATAAACAAACTGCGCAAAGAAGGAGATAGCTTGTGGGGGAATTATCCAAGGATATGGCTTGTTCCATAGCTGTTGTCTGTTTACTTCATTGCTCATGAACTAGAAATGCTGGCGTTGCTCAGTAATTCATGGAATCGATGTGGGCCATCAAAAGTTTTCAATTATGTAGTTTCAAACAACAGCAGCTACCAAAACAAAATGTACCTATTACATTCAATTAGTGGTAAATCAAACCAACGATTTTCAAGTCAAGCAAATTGCCATTTGAACACAATAGACACAAAGCCCAAACAAATTATAATATACGATAATTATGAGCAAATTTACGGAACGTGATTGACGCTTGTATGTGTGTGTGTGTGTGTGTGAGGAAAATAAAATATTTTGACAACCCTAGCATCATTTAGGCATTGAGGTGAGTGAGTGTATATTTGAGCTGTGAGACTTTAAAGTTGGCAAACTGTAGACTGAAACTTCAATTACTCCATCAGGCTGTTAGTTGCTGTTGTTGTTGTTGTTTGTGTTGTTGTTTTGGTTGTTTGTGTTTTGTTGTTGTTGTCAACCACAGGCTGTAACGGCTACATCAACCCGTGTCTGCTCTCGACCTCAGCGCACCACAATGTTGTAGTTAAGATACGACGGCGACCTCCTCTTCTTGTTTTAAGTATTCAGTTTTAGTTGTGTTGTTTTTGTTTTTGCTTTTGCTGTGCTTTTGCTGCTTTTAAGTAACTTTGCATGTCAGGCAATGAGCCGCTGACAGAGCAGCAGCGTGTCAACAATTCAGCCAGCTAATTGTACTAAAATTTATTTATTTTGTTTTAAAATGCCGATGACGCTAGAAGTTTACGTCGCTTTTGGCTTATTTCATTTAGAAACTGGAAAACAGACTCGAAAACGGATTGCACTTTTGCATGCAACCTTCGACTGTAGATCAATCAAAAAAACAAAAAAAAAAAGCGAAACCAAAAAAAAAAACGAAATATGAAATGTTTGCTTAATGTAGTCTGATGTGTATATGAGTGTGTATTGCTTAACAAAAAAATAAGAAAGCTCTCTGAAACGAGAGTATGCCTCGCAAGCAGATACCCTGCCAAATAGATTTTAGGTTTATTATATAATGACTAATGTAATCTGAGATTCTCAATTAATTATAACATGTCACTTGTCACTACTTTAATAGCTCCAAGTCGATTTATGCTACTCAGCTCTATAAATTGCATATTTTTATTTGTTTGGCAATTTCATTATTTGCAGTAGTTTATGACCCCCTCCTTTTATCTGTGACAGGGTATACAAAGTGACGTAATTAGCACTTGTGGTATTCGAAATATCGCAGATTCGTTAACGCGGATGCCACCTCCCGCATCGGAGTCGCTAATGAGAGCAGTCGACCCAGTTGTGAAGACGGATATGTGTCTAGTTAATTTGCATTGAATGCCAGACCTTTGGACGTGTCGACTGTGTGTTTGCGTTTATTTAACTTTAACTGCCTTAACTGCGTATCTTGCCATTTTTCTGCTGACCAATCGGGTCAACAAACCCAGCCGCAAACAGCAAAATGAAAATAAAAATACAATAAAATAAAAAATAATGAAAAAGAAAAAGAAAGCACATACAAAGTTTTTAATGCTGAGGCGTTCACAAAAAATTGCACTCGTACAGCGCTTTTCCAGCGCAATTCGTTTCAGAATGAATTTATACGTTCTGCAGATCTTGGGGAGCATGATTGATTTCGCCTACTCACATATCATCAGAGATCTGCCCTAGAATTCCACTTAGATCTCGCATAGATCACGCAAAGTGTCGTGACTATTGTGGTGTTGAGCGCCCTTCAACGACTGTTCGCATGTAATAAATGATGTATCTGTGTGTGTGTGGTTTGTGTGTATATATATGGGTGTGTATTCCTCTGTAGATCAGACTTCTCTGATAGCGTAACTTATATCTATTTTAAATTATGTTCAATTGAATGCGTTGCGCTTCACCTATATGCGGTTATATGACGTCAATTTCAGTTATGCTTTCATAAAAAAAAAAAAAAACAAACAAACAAAAAACCAACTCAAATAATAAACAATAGCCTCTAAAATATTTAGGAAAGTTTCTTATCAATTGCGACGCATTTTGTAAAGGGCGTACAATAGAAGAATAATATTATTTATATTAATAATAATAATAATAACAATAGCAATTGTAACAGCGTGATATGGCACATTGGCTATTATTGATTCAATAAGAAAAGAGATCGAGCTATCGGATCGATCGATCGATCGAAATTCTTGCCAAAAAAATAAAAAATAAAATAAAATCAAAGACAAAATATTTGTCACTTATTTTTTTTTGTTGTTTATTGTTTCTCTTTTGCTGTTTTTGACTGACATTCACATTTCTCTTGGTCTCGTTGGCATTGGCCCCGCGACGCCCCCTACCTCCCCCATTTACTAATTCAATGATAAAATGTCAAAAATCAATAACAATAAATAAACGATAAACGAGAGTGTGCCTCTCTGTACTTTGTATCCAAAAATTATATATACTATACATATACATATACATTTAAGGGGCTGTCCCTGGCACTTGATACTTCTGTCTGTCTCTGCCGGTCTCTCGTCAAACGTCCACTCCACAATCTATTGCTAATCAAATTGCAATTTTTATAAATTTACCTAAGCCCCCTATTGAATAATGCGGCGTCATATTCAATACAATCAGCATAGCAGAAGATATAACACAAATAAAATATATAAATATAAATTTATTTATTTATACATATCATACAAAGTATGGCCAAAGTTTACTCGGTAAGGACTTAGTAAACAATTTCCAATTCACATGAAAGAATTTGTTCAAAACTCTATTTAAATATTGATTTGATATATTGATATTTAAATACTTGATGAGTCTAAAACCATTTACCAAGCATTTTTAACTAGGCCCCACTAATCATACTTGATAACAATATAAGGATAGTAACTAACCTAAGACAATGATAGACAACATGCAGTTGAAAGCAACTAATTTATCTTTGGCAACCTCTTTAATTACAGATCGGGATCCATATGTGGACATATGCAAGTCGTTCAAGTGTGCGGAGCCAGCTGAGTGTCCCGACGACAGCAGCATATTCTCCGACGATTTTGAAGAGGTGCCATCCTCGTCGCTGTACAACAATAACAGAGATGAACGTGGTATGGGAACCAGCGACATTGATCCCCAGAAGCTGTGCTGTGGCTCGAACACTTGCAGCTGCAACGAATGCCCCGAAAAGCCCCATTGCAAGATGGGTCAAGTGCTGCTCGAAGTGAGCCCAGGCGACGACAAGAAGCCGGGTAGTTGTTGCCCCAAATACGTGTGCGGCAAGGAGCCGACCTGTTCTAAGGGTATTGGGACAATCTTTTGGCTAGATAGCTGCACCAAATGCAACAGTTGCCAACGCCCCTGCTTGTATATGTGCAATCGGAGCGATTGGGCTCCACCCAGCAACTGTCTGACGTTCAACAATCAGTCGAAGTCGAATGGTGAGAGCTGGACACAGGGCGATGGTTGCGAGGAGTGCATCTGCAAGGATGGTCATAATCAATGCCAAACCACAGCCTGCATTAAACCGCAATGCGAGAATGCCATTAAATTGCCTGGCACATGCTGTCCCATTTGCCCAGACACAGAGACAGCAACTATCTGGAACCTTCCAATAAACAATATCAGCGATAAGACCAGTGCATCAACAACAACAGCAACAACAAGCACAAAAATAAAAAACACAACGACCACATCAGCAGCAACAACAAGCACAACATCAACAACCACAGCAACAACAACCACAGCAGCAACAACCACAGTAACAAAAACCACAGCAACAACAGCAGCTGCATATACAACAACAGCATCAACTACAGCAACAAAAACCACAGCACCAACAGCAGCTGCTACAACAACAACAGCAGCAACAACAACAACAACAACAGCAGCAACAACAACAACAGCAGCAGCAACAACCACAACAGCCACAACAACAGCAGCTTCTAGTGTAACCACAGAAGGGGCCATTCTACAAAGCAGCTCCACAAGCGCTCAGATCTCAGTCGAAAGTAATGAAAATTTCGTAGAGCCAATTCCGGAGGAACAAATCGAGCCTGTTGGTGATGAAATTTTGAACAGCAATGAACAGAAAACAGTTGCTGAGCATCCACTGGACGATCCACTAATTGTGCCAATAAGCTCAACAAGCACAAGAATCCCGAGCAGCAGCAACGGCAGTAGGACAAACATTGAAGATGATGCTGAGTTTGAGAAGAGCACAACAGGCTCAACAACTTTCAGTTCCCAGTTGTTGAACGAGCCGGATGAGAGCAACGAAAGATCGGAACAATCCGAATTGCCGACCGAACAACCCAAAGAGTCAAAAGAAACCGCTGGCAGCACAAAGTATACAACACTGCCCAACGTGGATAATACGGAAATCGGTAGCAGCAGCAGCAGCACAAGCATTGAAGATGATGCTGAGTTTGAGGAGAGCACAACAGGCTCAACAACTTCCAGTTCCAGTTCCAGTTCGGAAGAATCCGAATTGCTGACCGAACAACTTAAAGTGCCAACAGAATCCACTGGCAGCACAAAGTATAATACACAACCCGACGTGGATAACACGGAAATCGATAGCAGCAGCAGCAGCAGCAGTATCAACATCATCAGCAGCAGCATCAGCCCTACATCTGCACCCATGGGTCATCGAAAGACGGTCGCCACTTCTGCGCCTGGCGTTCAGATGCCGGAATCAACTAGCTGGCATCGCGACTCCGACGTCAATGATGCCGATTATCGCTTCGCCAATGGGAACCATATCGATGAAGTTTATCCGTCCAATCAGAAAATAATATGGCTGATGGCTGGCATCATTACGAGTGTGACTTTGGTTGTCCTAATCATAGGACTTATTGTTTATTGTTTTTACCCTAAGAAGAAGCCCAATCCGATATATTCCTCAGTGCCGAGCTCGGAGTCAAATATCAGCGAGCATACAAATGCCTCCGATCTGCCCGCAGGCCATGTTTGAGCAGTCCTATTTGGGAAAAAGAATGCAGAAGCATCTGGAAGACACATATTGGAGTGATCTATTTCATGTTTCATTACACATACATCGACAGTCGATCTTCATTCAACAGCAATTCTATTTTGCTGCGACATTTTTAATTTGTTTACTATTTTCTCGCTACACAAATATGAATACAAAACTGTGCAAACTGTTTTTCAAAAATAAGAGCTCGATTTCTATCCGCAAAAATATTGTTTATTACAGAGAAAAATGCACTTATGGAAATTCACTATGAGTAGATCAAAATGCACTAAATGTAAAACGAGTACCTTATTGTCAAGTTCAAGAAGTTCATTATAGGGGAGTTCGACTGTATCGATATAATTAGATTAGGTATTGAAACTTTATGCTAATTTTTGTTTGTAAAAGTTTATCAATAACTCTCGCCTAAAAACAATGCTCCAGAAGAATCTGCAAATTTGCATATAATTCATCAAAACTAACAACTAACGAAAAAAAAAAAACAAAAAACAAAAAAAAACAATATTTATTATATTTTAATTAAGTTACGCATTGTGATAATATGGCAAATTTTTGATTTCAACCTGAGTAAAAGAAAATCATCATCAATTAGGTAAAACAATTTATATTTAGTCGCATTAAAAGCATAGTATTCAACACGCAATTAAGGCAACAAAACACTAACAAATCAGTCGAACGTATTAGAAATATTCTTAGATATAAGAAAACATGCACACCTAAAGAAATAAAAAACAAAACGCGCTTGGCAACTGAATAATTTTGTAAAGAAACAAAAAAAACAAAAGAAGAAAACACACAACGCACTGATTTCACATTCCTTCTAAGCGATTTTTACTATTTTAATTACATTCATACATACATATTTACGGATACACAAGAAAAATAACAACATAATGAATGCAAATATACCAAAGTTTTTAGTATCAGGGCTCTCATGCCCACAATTTTCTCGGTTAACAGCAATAAAGAATAAACGAAACCAACTGAATACAATGCGTCTTATCTCAATCATTACGAATTAAGGTTAAGCTTAAGCTATCGCTGGCACCGCCGTCAACGCATCCAAATGCTGGACAATGCCGCGCAAGATCTGCGCCGTGCTGGAATCGGGCAGCTCATCCAAGGCCGATGCGGTGCTGCCAGCCAAAACGCCTACGCGCGGATCGATGGGCAGCGTGCCCAAATGTGGCACCTGTGCCAAATTCGCCAGCTCTGCGCCGCCATTCGAGGAGAATATGTTAGTGCATTCGGTGCAATGCGGACAAACAAAGCTATAAAACAGACCGACATTAAATCAAAATAAGCAAGTTTCGCTATTGTCGCTGTGACGAAAAGAAAACAACATTTCCGGCACGCGGATGTTATATATGTATTTCTAATCATAGCCAAAAAATGAGGTTTTAGGCAACAAGTAGATTTGCAACCTGATCGATCACTCACCCGCTCATATTCTCCACAATGCCCAGCAGTTTGATTCCCGTCTTTTTGCAAAATGTGATCTCCTTGCGGACATCATCCAAGGCGACGCCTTGTGGCGTTGTCACAATAATTGCACCATTGCAGGGCACCTCGCGCAAGCACTCCATAACGGTGATGTGCTCATCGGATGTTCCGGGCGGTGTGTCAATGATTAGATAGTCCAGCTCATCCCATTTAACGTCGCTGAGGAATTGCTTAATCATCATCGTTTTCTTGGGCCCTCTCCAAATGACAGGATCAGTGCGATTCTTAAGCAGAAACCCGATAGACATCACGGCCAGCGTCTTGCTCTCATCCGTATAAATGGGCACCCAGCCATCGTCGCACTGGAATATGTCACGACCCTCGAGACCCAGCAAATATGGTACGCTGGGACCACATAGATCTATGTCCAGCAGACCCACCTAGAAATAAGAAATATATGCAATCATTTGTTACATTTATAATTTGTCGGTTTACCTTGTGACCCGTTGCGCGCAATGCCAACGCTAACTGTGTGCTAACTGTTGATTTGCCCACACCACCTTTGCCCGAGAGCACAACAATAACATTCTTAACTTTGTCCAGCATTATTAACTGCAGTTAATAATAACACAATCGTAAAGTGCGAGTTTACCATACAAAACATATGAATCAGCTGTTTTACGGGTTTGCTAAAGTCTGGCAACGCCATCAGAATTTTCCAAAACATGTGTTTCTCATGTATGCTCAAATACAATATTTCAGGCATCGATCTTTTATTTACCTCCAAACATCGATGTTTGGTATTATTAACATTATAATCTGCCCCGCGCTTTTAACAATTCAAATGTGAATGTCTTCAAGAAAAGTAAAGAGCTATGGTGGGGTGTGGGTAGGGGTGTGGGTAGGTGGGAACAAACTATATTATAAAAGAAAAGTACACACATATTAGTTTTCTTTATATTTTAATTATTCCTAGCTATTTTTGTTGTATGCTAAAATATCTATTTAGGCTATAACTGTTGTTTTTTTTAAACAAAAACAGGGCTGCTTAGCGTATTCTTTGGTATTTATTGTACAGTGCTGAACAATTTTAAACATCTCTTGCGACAATTCACAATACAAGTGCTTTGTCTCTCTTGTGTATCTCTAATTTGTATTGCTAAATTAAATTGCTACGGGCTAATCAACTAGGTATTTATTAAAGGACACATCTAATCTTTACTTTGTTTCTTTGTTTCCTCCGCTGGCTCGCCCAGGGGTGGGTTGGGCTTGACGTTGAGCTCCGCTAGGCCGGTTTGTTGAATGAGCACCAATCGCTCCTTGAGCGCTTCCTCGACTGCTGGTGGATTCGGAACATTGATAGTGAGTACGCCGTCGCTGCTTAAGCTGGACGTGGTCTTATCCGCCTCGTAGCCGTCGGGCAGAGCAAAGCGACGCAGAAATTGATGGTAGACGTAGCCGCCGTGGTCATCTTCCTTTTGCTCGGATTTGCCCTCAATTATGACACTGTTGTTCACCATTTTGACGGTCAGTTCGTTGGGCTTGTATTCACTCACATCCAGGCTGAACTGGTAGCCCTGTTTGCCCACTGTTGCCCCCGGCACAAACTGTTGCTCCTGCCGGCGTGCCATCTGCAGCCAGTTGCGGGGCATCGTTAAGTCCGTCCACATTAGCGGCTCGTGGAAGAAGGCCTGAAACGGCGACACACGCGGCATCCTTGTCAGCTCCTCGGTCATACGTAAAAGCACTGGCAACGAACGCATTGTAATCTCCGTGTATCTTGATTGTTTTTGTTAAACTGTTAAGAGAGCGCGCGAAACAGTTATTTACACGCCAAGACAAATCTCTCGCGAACTTTCTGGCTCTCTCTCTCTCTCTCTCGACTTGGCTGGCTGATGAAATTGTCAACTGCACTGCTCGAAACTATTTTGAATATCTGGCATTTATTCTATACATATCCTATACTAGTCGAATCATGCCCAAGAGAATATTTCGCTTATTTCCTAAAGCGCAGAAGTGTTGCGGCATTAAAGCGTGATAAATTGCAATTTATATAAACATATCAAATTCCCCTTGTATTTAAACAGATCAGTAAGCAACCACTACTGTCGCAAGTGAAACATTTATACCAAAACCGGTACTTAAGATAAATAAAACACAGATAATGCTTCATATACTATATACATTATTTGTTTAGAAATGCAATACTTTGTTTGCCTTATTATTATTATCTTGCAGCTCTGCGCTGAGCGCTGGAGGCAAATGCGACCATTTAACGACTGTCTGTCATCTTATGATAATATGATGTACTCGCTGATCTTCAGCATTCGTCCTACGCTGCTGGTGGTCATCGCTGTTGTGCTCTACACGATATGCTATTCACTCAATATCTTGGATGACGAATAGTCGCAGTTTTATCATGTCAGCTACAAAACTGAGATTTCGATTGAAGGTTCCCTAAAATGATGCCAGAATTTTAACTGACTGGACCCGGGCAAGAGCCGAAAATATTTGTTAATAGAAGTTAAAATGTATTAAAGACTGCATACACATTTTTTAAGTCTGATTAGAGAAACAAAGCTTTCGTGGCCTTTAAGTATAGTGTTTAAATGTTATTTAGTATTTATTTATATATTTTACAAAACATAGTCAATTAAAATTAATTACAATGCTTTATAGTATATTCAATTTATTGATTTAATCATAGTTGAGTTTTAATTATTTTTCTTAAAAAGTAGTCTGATTACAAAAGCGAGGCTTTCCTGGTTTTTAAGTGTAGCCTTTAAATAATATACAGTATTTATATATGTTTTTTACAAAACAGCTAATTAAATTTATCTGAAATATGTAGTACAATTGTATTTATTGATTTAATCATAGTTGATTTCTAATTATTTTTTGTGCTAAACAAATAAAGAAAATAAGCAACTTACCTTTATTTTGTTCTAAAGTCGGTTTTATTATATGTCTCAATATTTATATCTCATTTCTATATATTATATACAAATATATTTAGTACTATTTTATACGATAAGAATTCAAACAATTAGGAAAGAACAAGTCATTTATTAAAATTTATATTTGGATAACTTTGCAAATATAAAAGTCTTCATTTAGTTAATTGTTTTTATTATTCGCTTGGGTAACTTTATGTGAATAATGATGGATATTGAGCAACTGCATCCTGTATTCTGTCGATATCAGTTAACGATTCCCTTTGGGCAGATTAAATGTGTTGCCATCAAACTCTTCCATTGATTTTGAATTGATGATTGAGCGGCACAAGTCTTGACAAGCTGCAAAAACTTTTCCGATAATAAATCCCAGTATCCTGTTCCCAGTAAATTTTCCAATAGATTTTGTATACTTGCTTTAAACGACTTAATTTATTCCGAAACCATTTTTCTACAATGTACTTCTCGTGTAAAATAAAATAATAGATTGAAATTGAGTTATAAAAAGGCCAACGAGTGCAAATGGAAATTGTATAATCGATCTCACTGCGGCAGACCTTCCTTTTCAGCCCACTCTAGCCAGGAGCCGTGGTAGACACTCAAGCTGTCAAATGTAAAATAAATATATTTCACAATCCATCTAGATATTTGTCATTTGGTGTGTCAGAACTCACTTGGTAAATTCAGCAGCCTTGGCGATTTTTTCGGCCTCCTGGGCACGTCTGCCGGAGCGACAAGTGAATATTATTTTCGCATCCTTTGCTGGTTTGGCGCGTCCATAGGTCTGTTCAAACTCCTCCGGCTCAACCTGCAGAGCGGACTCCAAACTGGGCACTATAAAATTTAATTTCAATTGTATAAAAATAAATAATCAAATATATATAGTATTTAGATATTGCTTACAGGGTATATTGATGCTGGCCGGAATGGTGCCAGTTGCCGTCAGCTCCTCTGGATTGCGCACATCAATCAAATAGATCTCCGGATGATTGGGCACATCTTTCACCTGCTCATATGTTGCCATCGCACCACTGCTCAAAACTGTACTTTCACTTCGCTTGCCTGCCGACGAAAGATCAGCACTAAGCTCATTATTTGCCGTTGTTGCCGCACTTATAATAGGCGACAGCAGAGCGACACAGACGATGGCAGCGACGCCGACTATAACGTTAATCAGCCGCATGTTGGAAATACAATAAAGATACAGCGACCGCAACTGGACTCAGACTGGGAAACGATATTCAACCTGTAGCCGGTTTTCATTTTTGTTGCTTTGTGGTAAAAAACAAAATAGCAAAACACCGAAAGCTGAACGCTGAACGCTGGCTACAACGGCGCCGGCCACTCATCAGATTTCGACTCAAACGCAAATATATATAATTCATCATGCATACATATTAATACATATGCAAACACAGATTTCAAAGCGAACGTTATCGGTTTGAGCGTCTTCTTATGACAAACGCCACGAAGTGCTTATTATATATGCAAAGTGTATCGAATAAACAAACCTTTTGCGGCTTTTGTTTCTTTTCTCTTTTTTTTTTGACTCGCTCTTAAAGCTCTTCCTTTGTAACTTCGAGAAGATTTTCACAATGGCGCCTCCAGAAAATTCGCAAGTGTCGCTCCAGAAAAGCTCATCTTGTCAGAGCTTTTTCCTGGTGCCCAACTATAAAAGTCGACACTGATAGCAAAAACTTCACATTTGTGTCGCGGCATTGAAGTTAAATTGTTATTTGTAGTTGACAAGCCCAGTTCCGATTTGGTAAATCAACCCTAAAAACTCCAATCGAAACCAGGTCGCATTTTCAATTAGGTTCAGTGAACTTGTACCAGATACAGACTCTGAAAATTTGTAGTGCGTAGAAAAAATGCCAGATATTCCATTTGTACTCAATTTGGACTCACCGGACTCCATTTACTATGGCCACGATATGTTCCCCAATCGCATGTATCGCCGGATGCACTCTCGCCACCATGATGCCCTCGATATGCACACTCTCGGCTTGATTGCCCAAATGGGGGCACACGCTCGTCACCTGGTGGCCCACAAGAATCGCGGTGAGCTGGGCGCAAGCAGCGCCGCTGGCAAGGATAAGAAGGGCAACTTTCAGGTGAATCTCGATGTGGGCCTCTTTGAGCCAGCTGAGCTGAGTGTGAAGCTCGTCAACAACTGCGTCGTTGTCGAAGGCAAGCATGAGGAGCGTGAGGATGAGCACGGTCAGGTTGCGCGTCACTTTGTGCGTCGCTACCCACTGCCCAAGGAGTACAATGCCGATGGCATTGCCTCGACCCTGACCGATGATGGTGTCCTCACCGTGACAGTGCCGCCCCTCATCGTCGAGGAGCAGGGCCTGGAGCGCATTATACCCATTAAGCATGTGGGGCCATCCGACTTGTTTCTGCAGCCCAAGAATAATGGACACAAGGAACAAATAGCTGACGACGACAAAAAGTGAATTTTCCCGATAATTGCGTTGCCAACAGTTGCAAAGTGATTTCCCAAGACTCTCAATTCCATTGCACCGCAAAGATAATAAATCAATTTATGCACGCTACAATTTAACAAGTCATATTAACCATTTATTAATTTATTTAAATGTAATCCATTTAGATTTAAAACTCTTCCAGTGTCAGTGCTAATAAATGTTTTTTAACATCCTAAAATGTCGCCATTTTTGTGTCCTGAATTTAACACTAATATACATATACAAATATATGTATATATATATACACACACACATGTTGAACTTCAAACTATGCAAAATACACCGCACAATTTGAAATATATTCGATAGGTTTTTGCCGCAGCCAAATTTACTCGATTTTTGATAAGAGATGAGCGATAGTGTAAGTGGGGCACAAAAATGCGTATAAGGATTATCAATAGCACAATGCGCCGCCAGATGTAATTATTTTATTTGTATGCATTTAAATTTAACAAATAAATTGATTTTATTTTGAAAACATCTGTAGAATTAGTAACGGAAGCTGTGGCCAAGCACAAGCCAGTGCGCTCTGTTAATAACATGTGAGTAAATGTTAAATAATTTGGGTGCCCACAGCTGCATGTAATTTTGTAACCTTAAAAATGTTTTGTTTACTTTTGCGCCATACGCGTAATTCCCGTCAAATAATATTCAAGCAATTTTTAAAACCACAACTTAACACAGTCAGCAAAGGACTGCACACCACAAAATGTAAGTGGCCCGCCCCCTGAAGTGCCGGGCACAGATGTCATTTGCTAATTATGCGTACAGATTATGAAATTCACTTTGCTATTTGTGGGTTGTTTTCAGTACTGCAGCATGGAGAATACGAGTGGAAAGATCCCAAATCGCCGGATGAAATGTGAGTAATTGGCGTGCGTAAACTCAGTAAATAACTATAGTACTACAATTGCAAACTACTACATTTTAGCGTTAACATAACGTACGTGGACAAGGACGGTAAACGCATCAAGGTGCAAGGAAAAGTGGGCGACAATGTGCTGTATTTGGCGCACCGGCACGGCATCGAAATGGAAGGTGCCTGTGAGGCATCGTTAGCTTGCACCACGTGTCATGTGTATGTGCAGCACAACTATCTCGAAAAGTTAAGTGAAGCCGATGAGAAGGAGGACGACCTGCTGGATATGGCACCCTTTCTGCGAGAGAATTCCCGCCTCGGCTGTCAAATAGTGCTCGATAAGAGCATGGAAGGAATGGAACTGGAGCTGCCTAAGGCGACCCGCAACTTCTATGTGGATGGGCACAAGCCAAAGCCACATTAATGGAGCGCTAAAACGTTATTATTATTGTTGAATCCCATTGAATAAAAGATTGTGTTTTAATCGTTTTCGTGTTCCCAACTTCTATATAATTCTTAAGTTTATAAACAATGCTCTCGTTTTGTGTGTTTTCATCTGGGCAAATAATTAAACTAAAGACAATTGTTTTAAGTTGAGCCTATATAATTACATTTTCTAATCGATGAAATACCATGCATGAAAGCAGAACAAAACAGATGAGAACAGCTTGAATTTGAGGAAAGGAAATTAGCGAGTAATGACATATAAAAATGTAGAATGAAACAATATTGTAATAATTATGTTACAATTAAAGAAAGTATGTAATATCTAAATGTGTTTGTGTGTGTGTGTGTGTAGCGACAAACTAAAAATCATTACAACAAATACACACACGGCACAACACATCGAATTGTGTCAGTGTGTGGTATGTGTGTGTGTGTCTGTGTGTGTATCAGCTGTGAATGATGATCGTTGGGTTAGATGTGCGTTCAGTTCGACGAGGGACTGCTGGAACCGGAACGTGAATGGACGCTGCCACGGTCATGCTCGCTGCGCTCCTCGTCGCGATCTCGACTCTTCTCATCCTTGTCCAGGTCACGCTCGGACTCCCGCTTGATTTGCTTCTCGGGCGCAGCAGCGACGAGCTCTTCTTTGGGCGATAGGTTTTCACGTTTGATCGCATCCTTTTCAGCTTTACTGGCGCTGGCCGCTTTCTTATTGTTGCTCTTTTTCATCACGGCCAAGTCCTTCTGGAGGCCGGTAACCTTGCGATTTAAAGTATCCACCTTCATGTCATGGATTCGCTCGACTTCCTTCAGTCTATTGCGCATTTCGTTCTCCTTCTCAAAGTTTTTGCCCTTCAGCTCCGTCAACTGAAATTTGCAGTATTTTCTATAAATAAATTCATCGAGGATTTGAGTGTAAGGGACTCACTTGTTTGTCCTTCTCCAGGAGTTCCTTGTCTTTTTGATTCAAGCGCTTCTCCAGACTGGCAATGCGCTCCTTCAGATATGTAATGGCCACCACGTGATCCGATGAGTTAGTGTCCACTGTGATGGCAGCTGGTGCCGCAATTGTGCCATTCCCGCTATTGCCACGCGACATCTTATCGGGCAGATCGAGGCCGGCACCACTCACAGCAGTCACGCTGCCAGCATTGGGATTGCCACCAGCGCCTTTGGAAAGATCACCGCCACGCGTCGATTTCTTGACGGCCGCGTGACTCTCTCTGTGCGCCGACGACGAGGACTTTTCGTGTGGTCGCTTCTTGGCCATGGATATTCGGCCCTCCTGTTGCGCTTTCAGCAGGGCACGCTTGTAGGCGCAGGTACATAGCCAGCACAGGACTTTTCCATTGACCTGCAAGACGGTGTGTATGTAAAGCATGAGCATTTAAAGTACATAATAATATTAGAAATAATAATGGCTTAGTTAAACAAATCCTAGACTCTCTCTTATGAACGCAACACATAATCTCTTGAGACTCGTCACTGTCATTTTACATGTCTTTGACAAACAATCAACAATCTTATAATAATATGTAGTAGTAATAGAAATATAAAAAGTGGCCGCAATCCGTTTGTTGACTGGATTTTGCTTTGCTTGACGACGGATTCTCATCGCAATTTCGCTGACCTTTTTGTTCTCGTCGCGCCTGTCAAAGGCCGATCGCAGCTTGCACTCGTCGCATTGTGTGGGCGGTCCGTATTTGGCCTCGTAGCTGGCGCATCTATTTGCAGTTCAGTTAGTGTGTGATATTTGGTTTGGTTAAAATGTTTTGTTCATTTTTCAAGTTTGTGGCACACATATGTTGTGGAGCAGAAAAGAGAAGAGAGAAAAATGTTTTGCGTTCATAAGAGACGTTGTTTTCTATTCTTGTTTTTTTTTTCTTTGGTTTTGTTTTCGTTTGTAACTTGAACAAATCAAGAAAAGAGACAAAGAGAGAGAGAATTTCAAATCTACTGAAGGGCAAGGCAAACGCGCATTTCATTTGAATGTATTTTGAAGGCACAATTAGTTGGGTGGACAAGGCAGGATATGTATATAAATACATACACATATACATATACATATTTATACAAAGTTTGTTTTACGAGTAATTAATTTTAAATTGTTTATTCGAGCATTTCATATATTGTGCATTCAAATTACAGCGGCTGCCACGTTGCTCGTGCAATTTTATTTTGTTTTTTTTTTTTAGAAAAAATTTTTTTTTTTTAAATTGAGAAAATGGAAAACATACCTCATGCATTTGGAGCTACCGAAGGCAGCAACGATCTTGCAGCACTCGCAGGCGTTGGGTTTGCCATATTTGCTCAGATAGTGTTCGCATTTTTTACAGGCACTCTGTGACTTGCTGCAAATGAAAGTAAGAGTAGTGCGGTGCCATGCATAAATCGCAATAATTTTATTAACTTACGAGGCGGAGGGAAATTCCGAGCGGCAGTAAGTACATTTAACTACTGAGGTAGAACCACGGCACACCTGTGGAGAATCGGAAATGGAAAACGAAGCATTAGTTGAGAGTAGATTTGAGTTCAGCCTTGACCGAATTAAGCGAACATTTATTGGATTGGTCAACACTGGCAGATTCTCTGCTATACTTTTCTTGTGGCGTCGAAAGTCTGGCTTAATTGGATATTGAAATTCGGGGACACCACAATTACGGTAGATTCAAGATTCAAATTTCATTTGATTAGTCACATTTGCTATTTGCTACCGGAGATGGAGACAAGGTTGCAACAGCGAGAGCTGCTACCACTGTGCTTCCTCTTGCCGTTCATTTTCACTGTAAATGCGCAGCAAAAATGTTCGCAAGAAAGCGTCGCTTCATTTTTTTTTATTGTTTAGCCAAAAACGGCATTTTCTTATGGCACAATGCATACACACTTTGAAACGTTTGCTGTTTTTTTGTTTGTTGCATTTTGTGTTTGTTTCAAGAGATTTAAAATCGCATTTTTATGTTTGTTTGTTAACCTTGCAAAGCTGCTGGCCCGAGGAAAGTTCTTCGTATGGGTGCCGAGAAAAACATTTGGAGCATGCGAATAATAACTTTGAACTCATTTTAATATTTGTGTTTCTTTTTTTTCTTTTCCCTTGTGCTATTTTCTATTTCTTTAGTTTTACTTGTAATTTGCGATTTAGAAGACGACGCAAACAGTGTCACCACAATATGAAAATGAAATCTAAGCTTGGCATCAGAGTGACCATTCTCTTGCGCATTTAATCTATCGATGAGTCTATCGAACGCTAAGCAACCCTCCAAATACAGTTCATTTCAATCGAAAGCGGGGAAGAAGAAGAAAGAAAGACGCCTCAAAGCAAAATTCAAACAATCCAAGCAACGATCAACTTAAGCTGTACTAGTTTTACAAAATAACAAAAGTCAAAAGAAAAACGAAAAATACAATAAGCGAAAAGTGTCACAAAGCAGCAGGTTTAAGAAAATATGACTGAGCAAACAAATATAAAAGTGGTGGTGCGCGTGCGCCCCTACAATCAGCGGGAAAGGGAGCACAATCAGAGGTGCATAATAAAAGTGATGGACGCATCCTCCTTGCTGTTCGATCCCGATGAGGACGACGACGAGTTCTTCTTCCAGGGCGCGAAGCAGCAGTACAGAGATATCTCAAAGCGTACAAACAAAAAGCTCACAATGGAATTCGATCGCGTCTACGACACGGATCACAACAATGAGAACATGTTCATGGAGTGCACAGCGCCGCTGGTCGACGCCGTACTCGATGGGTAAGTTCAACCGGAGTAGCTGGATATGCACCTGAAAATATATATATAAATGTCAACAACAACAACAGGTACAATTGCTCGGTGTTTGTGTACGGGGCGACAGGTGCTGGCAAAACATTCACAATGCTGGGCAGTGAGAATTGTCCGGGCCTCACTTTCCTGACGATGCGTGATCTCTTCGATAAGATCCAGGAGCAACAGGAGACACGCAAATTCGATGTGGGCGTCAGCTATTTGGAGGTGTACAACGAACAAGTTATGAATCTGTTGACGAAATCAGGTCCGTTGAAACTGCGCGAGGATGCGAATGGTGTGGTGGTCAGTGGATTGGTTTTGACACCCATCGACAGTGCCGAGGATCTGCTGCGCATGCTCACGTTGGGCAATTCGCATCGCACCCAGCATCCGACAGACGCCAACTCGGAGAGTTCGCGTTCACATGCCATTTTCCAAGTGCACATACGGATTACGGACCGCAAGACGGGCAACAAGCGCAGCGTGAAGCTCTCTATGATTGATTTGGCGGGCAGCGAACGTGCCTCCAGCACCAAGGGACTGGGCATGCGCTTCAAGGAGGGCGCCAGCATCAACAAGAGCCTCTTGGCGCTGGGCAATTGCATCAACAAGCTGGCCGATGGCCTCAAGCATATACCGTATCGCGACTCGAATCTGACACGCATCTTGAAAGACTCACTGGGCGGCAATTGTCGCACCCTGATGGTGGCCAATGTGTCCATGAGCTCGCTCACCTACGAGGACACCTACAACACTCTAAAGTATGCCAGTCGCGCCAAGAAGATACGAACCGTGCTGCGGCAGAATGTGCTCAAGTCCAATATGCCCAAGGAGTTCTATGTGAAGAAGGTCAACGAACTGATGGCTGAACAGGACCGTCTCCTGCTCTACAACAAGGGACTTGAGGCCAAGTTGGCCCAATTGGAGCGATCCGGTGGCAGTGACAACGGCTACGATCCGCAGGAGCTGAAGCCATGGTACAGCAAGATCGATGCAGTCTACGCCAGTGTCATAAAGCTGCAGCAGTGTGTCATTGGGATACGCAGCAAAGTCCAGAGCCTGAGTTATCGGCAAACGCTCAAAAAAGATTTCGAGCAGCTGCGCAAAATGTTGACGCTGGACCAACGTCTGCTACAGGATGTGAGTATTATAAATAAATATATGTATATTAGACTATATATAGTATGTATGTAAATGTTCCGTCTGTCCGTGTTGATAACTTTCTAGATTCCTATTCTTGACAGTCCCTCGTTAATTTCAGCTTATATTTAAAATTTAGTAAATTGCATCATAGGCAGTGGCTTACATTTATCGGAGCAACAAATCTATATGTATATATCAATATCAATATCTAACATCAGTCTTGTGGCATTCGTGATATCAGGCATCGCCGAGCAGCTCCTTCTGCTTGCTGGCGAGCAGTTTGTCCGCCTCCCCGATGTATTTGTCCGCAATGGCGGTGAGCTGTGTCTGAGCGGCAAACACATCATCTTTGGCAATGTCCGTCTGCTTCTTCAACTTGCGTATCTCGGCGTTCTGGATGTCGCGTATGGCGTCGCGATGCTTGATGAACAATGCCTTGGCATTTTTGGAGAGGTGCTCGCGATGCTCCTTGGTCACCTTGGGTATGGGTATGAAGAGTGTGGTGCCGTCCTGCTGTGGGTTCAGATTCATGCCACTCTTCTCTATGGCACGCAGCACATCGGGTATCGTTTGGGGAAAGGCGATCATGTTGATGACGATCGTCTTGGGATTCTTGCGCGATATCTGCGCCAGTTGCTGCAGCTCGTGCTCAGCGCCGTCCACTTTGATGCGCAGCGTGTCGATGGCGCCGCTCGTAGAGCGTAACGATAGATTCTTAATGAAATCATCTCTCATCTGGAGCACCGACTTCTCCATTTGGGCATTGAGGCCATCCAGGTTGATCAGTTCACGCAGCTGCTGCTCGTTGATCTCCACCTTGACGGGTTTGCCTTTGGCGCCCTTTTCCTTTTTTCGGTCCTTGCCTTTTGCATAATCGCGCGTTTGTTGCACAAACAAAGCAGGTGCGGCTGCATTCACTTGTGGTTGCTGCTGCTGCAGCACTTGTCGGCTAATTGGAAGCACCACACGCAGTGGCGTCAGCCTGGTGCATATGGCACGTAAATGCACTCCAGTCTTGGCGAGCATTTTTAAAACAAAAATAATTGCGATTTGCAAGTAAAATAAATGCAGTGCTGCCAACTTGCGTTTAATAAAAATCAACCTGCAAAGCAGAAATGCCAACTTGCAAAGCTTCTAAGAAAAGTACGCTGTGCGAGCAAAAAGCTCGGCCACATTTTTAATTTCATATTTACTTCTGTAAATATTGAAATTTAAATTAGAAATTGCTAAAATATTTAAGAAAAATATAAAAAATATGTAAAATAAATGCGCCAACCATCTCTTAATGAATTCTCAATTTTATGTTTAGGACTATATGCTGTTCACGAACTATTTAAGCGCATTGAACGTAAGAAATCAGAAATATACCGATGAGCTGCCAAGGTGGCGCAGCAAGCTGGAGGTGGCCTGCATCAGCCTGAAGAAATTGAAGCTGGAGGTGAAGGAGTCGAAACACCAGCATATTCTCAACTTGTACATCAGCAACAAGGACTTGGAGGTGCAGTTGTCCAAGCAGCAGATAAACAGCAATCATTTGACCGGCATCAACAACGAGCAGGCGGAGAATGCCAGTCTCTTGCGCAAGTCCCTGTCCATGGCCTGCGAGGGATTACACCAACTCTACAGTCGTCTGGAGGAGACGCAAAAACTGACGCCCGAAATACAGAGTGTATATGAGCGGCTGGAGCGCAGGATGCGCTTCACCGAAGCGGAAACGGCGACTTTGACGCAGGACACCGATTTGGATACACTGCTCGCCGAGCAGCACGAGCCGGAGCCATTAACACTGGCCAGCAGCAGCGGTAGGAAACGGAAATGTGATCGTCGCTACACGCACACAGTGTCCAACAGCGAATTTGTGCTGCATCTGGGCGTGGATAGCTTCGAGGACACCGACTCCGACTCTGACTTGGACCCAACTGACGACAGCCAGCAGCAGATGTTTAAGAAACCATGTAATCTGAACGTAACCCAAGTGGTTCCCAGCAACAAAAGCGCCCAGCACAAAGCACTGACGGCGACAGTCACAAAATCGCGACCCATCAATCATCGCATGATGTCCGACATGCTTTCTGATCAGAATGTCGCCGGTTCTGCGAACAAGGAGAAGCTGAAGCAAGGTGAGACATATCCAAATACCTCTTACCAATTTCTCTTCAATCTTTATTGTTTTTTAGCTATGCTCAAGTCCAGCAAGTTTACGACGCAAGGATTGCAGCGCACCTGCGCAGCGGCGATACAAAAGGAGAACTTAAAGTATACCACAAACTGTGTGCGGAAAAGTCCACGAGCCCTAATCGCAAAGAGTGAGCTGCAGATGTGAAATGTTCTTTATTCGATTTATAATAATAAAATTTACTTTTATCTATTATAGCACTTGCCGGCGCGACGGCAACGATGCGAAAGCCGATCTCCCGTCTGGCCGGAACGATTGGATCTGGCGCAAAGGATGCGCCAGTAGTCAGGATAAATCGAGCCGCTTCGTTTCGCGTCAAAAAATCATAAATTACTTTTCATTTATTTAAAGCGTTTCTATTTTATTTCGTTTATTTTGTACCGCCCGAAACGATTTGAACAGTTTTAACAGTTTAACTTCAGTATAAATATAATTTAACCCACATATAAACATATATATATATATATTCTGTAAGATCTTTTACTCTAAGTAACGCGCTTAGCTCTAAAAATACATATCCGTCTCCTTGCCAGCACCCAACTGTTGTCTATCGTTTCGATAAATGTCGCCGGAATTAAAGACGCCTCCAAGACGCTGCGGCGGCGCCAGACCCAGCAGCGCCAGCAGCATGTACAGCAGAGCCCCCAAATTGACGCCCAAGAGCAGCATGCCTGGTCCAAGAAGAGCCGTCGGCGACGCGGACAGCCCCGAGGCAGGCCATCCACTTTGTGGACCGCCAAAGCCGGTGAAGGCTAAACGACGCCAGGGTTGCAGTTGCTCACTGGCAACAGCCGCAGCATTCGAGTCCTGGTCCTGTTTCTTGCTCTCGGCCAGGAGTGTGTAGCGTGGCACATACTTTTTGCTATCCACAACACTTTGTGCATCACCCGCAATTGCCCCAATCACCCAGCAGAGTGCAAAGATAACAAACAACAAAAACTGCATGACGTCAACTGTTTGGCTACTCGACGAGAGTTGCCCGCTTTTATATTGTGGCTGGGCTTGCCACAGCCGAGTGATTCTTTTGAGATGTCAGCAATGCACACAGACTGTCACATCCATCAGGTTAAACCCATTGAGGGGCATTTCTGTCATTTGAAGTTTACATATATTTAGATAAGATAGAAACAATTTGTTCATATTATTGTCCGTCGGATTAAATGTGCCAGTTGTTGTGGTCTAGTTGAGACGCTGCGCTTTGAGCAGCACCTGCGGTTGCTCGATTTCGGATTTGCTCTGCACCAGCTTCAGTTCACGCTCCCAGGCTTGCGCGGGTCCACTGTTCGTGGGCAGCGACTTAACCGTCTGCCTGATCACAGCCTGCAGGGTGGCAATTGTCTTCTCGAAGGCGGCGGTCACATCGCCGTTGCCATGGCTATGGGCTAGAAAGAGGGAGGCGAACAGATCACCGGTGCCGGTGAAGAATAGATCCTTGTCGCCCTGCTTGGGTATATCGATGGCGAGTCGAGGACCATTCAGCTGGCTGAGGAAGGCGCGCAAAACGCCCTCCTGCCCCAGATCACTGCTGGAGATGACAACCGTTTTGATGTTGCGCTGATGGAACCAATCCATAGCCTCCCAAACGGCCGCCTCGCTGCGCACCTCCTTGCCGGTGAGCAGTTCCACCTCGTACTGATTGGGCGTTATAATGTCGGCCAATGGAATGATTTCGTCACGGTACACGGGCAGCAGTTCCTTGGGCACATACATGCTGCCGTTGTCCCCCATGACGGGATCACAAACGAAAATCAACTTGGGATTCGCCTTGCGCATCTCCTGCAGTATGACGCCCACCTGGCGGAGGAACAACGGATTGCCAATGTAACCCGTCAACAGATGCGAGTACTGAGACAACAGCTCGTTCTGCTGCAGCCCATCGAAGATGGTGGCTAGTGGAGTCGATAGAGTTAATAAAAACTGCAATCACAATTTGTGTCTGTGAATATATTCAATACCCAATTCTTTTTCAGTTGAGACTGGACCCTTGAAGCACTTGTAGCCGGTGTGGTTAGAGAATTGCACCGAGTTCAACGGATCCACATCGAAGCCCAGCAGCTAAAGCGTAAATATTGACTAAATGAACAATGAAAATAATAAATAATATAAGTCACAACTCACCTGGAGGGGATAGGTGGCCACCTTGTTGCCTACATAACCGTGCACAACGTGACTTTGGATGGAAAGAACTCGTTTCGCATTCGCACTTGCGTTTGTCGTTGTCATTTTGTTTTTGTTGCAGTGTTGTTTATAATGCTGTAGCTGTAGTTGTAGTTGTACCTGTGCAACAAGTGCGCCGTTGTCAACGGTTCGACGATCTGTAAGCAACTAAGCGTAGACCATCGATTGTAAATATTCTCTTGCTAAACATAAGCGACTGCCAGCATCTTATCACTCGCCAGTCATTCGCTGATAAGCTGGTAAGCAATAAACAATGAGTATTGTGCAAATAACGGTATCAATCTGAACAACTCTTTGCCACTTGTGGTGTATTGTTATATTGTCGAAATGATTGAGTTGCCTTTGGCCTTGCACTGCAATTAATCTTTACATATTGCATACATGACTACCCATAAAGCCCCCACCCCTCGCAAACTGATACAAGCATTTCATGTATTACTGGTGCGTAAAAGTGGTGCCCCTATCGATAATCTCGTTGGTGCCAGCACTGACTATCGATGTGTTTTTACTCAACGTACTAATTTATATTTCCTTATTTCTTATTGCATGTGTGCTCCCAGAAGTATGCCACCTCCTTTGCTCAGTGGGAAATTAAGCCAATGCAGCCTCCTATTTGGTATCGATGCCGAAACAGCTGATGTGCATGTGTAACACTGTGAATGGCAGTTTGCTAGCGCATGGTTTACGTAAACTTTTAAGTGTCGAGTTTTGTATAAAAATTGGCAATTAATTGTGGTTTGTCAGCTTAAATTAAGTGTGAATAAGCATGGCGACAAATCTAACACGTTTGCTGGAGTCTAGCATACGCAGCACCAATGCAGCAGCAGTGCAAAGCAGTATGCGGCTTTTTAGCAACCAGCAGCAGCAGCATCAGCCTGAAGACGACGATGAGGGTAAAAAAAGTGAAAATAATACTAATAAACAATCTCAAGCCATTGAATTTTTGCAGAGTTTCGAGTGCTTAATCTACGCACGATCAGGCAGCAGGCGCGCCGGCGGGAGTTCAAGAAGGAGGCAGTGCAGCCGCCACGCACAAAACGCATGGCTGTCGATCAGGATTGGAGCGCAGTCTGGTCGGGACCCCGATCCTTTCATCCGGCTAGTGTGCCGCTGCCACTACGCCAGGGCTACACGGAACGTGGGGCAGCAGCGCCGTCTAAGTACGCCAACGCTGAGCTGATGAAAATACCAAATTTCTTGCACCTGACGCCACCGGCCATCCGGCAGCAGTGCGAGGCAATCAAAAAGTTTTGCACGCCTTGGCCAAAGGGCCTCGAGACAGAGGCAAAATGGAAGCGCACCTTTCCCCTGGAAGTGGTTACCAGCGACTATTGTCATAGTTTGCCTACCATACGAAATCCGGAGGCACGTCGCGTCAAGATTACGCTAAAGCTCTCCGATCTCCAGTTCGATGCGCATGCCAAGGATAAATTCCTGCGACTTGTAGGCGAGCGATTTGACCGGGAGACCGGCCTGCTCACCTTCGTCACCGATCGCTGTCCGACGCGCAAGCAGAACTACGATTATGCCTTATATTTGTTGACTGCTTGTTATCACGAGTCCTTTGTCACAGAACCCTGGGAGGCAAGCAAGTCTGAGGCGGACATGGAGCAATATCTGTTCGAACGGAATCAGGCAAAACGCTCAGCGGAGGCGATTCTTAATTGGAATGCGAGCAGAGAGGAGAAAGTTTCGCCTCCTTCTGGATATGCTGAGAGTGTGGAGCAGTTAATAAATGAGGGCGAGAACGAGTACAACATAGCCAAGTATAAGGAAGAGGTGCTCAAGTTGCTTAAGATAGCCATCTAGTTGGCATTTGCATTAAAATAAAAAATAAACAAAAAACCAACCGTCATTTTTTGTTGCCGCAACAGCTGATTGCCCGCGGTGCGTAGTCCTGTGAATGGCAAAAGAAGTGTTCGCATCTAAGAAGCAGCAGCGGCAGCAGCAGCAGCAATTTCTTAGTCCAAACAGAAGAAAACGGTTTTAGTGGACGTGGATGCGATTTTTGTTGTAATTTAGTAGTTACTAATTATTTTTTGACTTTCTCAAAACGTATAACAATAAACGCTGACGTTTATTCGACGGCGCTACATGACAGGTAACAATAACTTTAATAATAACTACTATTGCAAAAAAAAAAAAAACTACATTAAAAAAAAATAAATTTTTTTGTGTTAAACATAAGGTTTGTGTTTTATCAATGTTCTTTTATTTCGCTATCGCTGCTAGTGCCGGAAGTTAGCTGCTTTTGAAGACAACATGTTCAACTTTCGTTGGTGCAGCTTATCAGCAAAAGGTTTTGTTTGTTATTGCTTTGTGTGATACAAGCAAATATACGTGTGTGTGTGTGCCTGTGTTCGTGTACACATTTCTTGAGAACCTTTGTGAAGTGATGTTCCGCTGCAGTTCTCAATTACGCCCGCGCTGAGCTGCAAGCACTTCGTGACTAACTTAATGGGAAATTAAACATTAAACACCTGACTGACACTATAATTTGAACGGTAGTAAACACTTTTTGGCAATGTCTTACATTGTTGTAAACTGCACGTGAGGCAAGTACGCTGTTCCCGGTCTGGCAGCAAAGAACATAATAAAAATGGCTAACCAATAAGAACAGAGATTTACATATAATATTTCTATAAATAATTTCTGTTACTTTTACTAATAATTTAACAGTTTCAAAGCTTTTGCCAAGTAAGCAGAATTGCTTAAGTGTGCCACAAACTAAGACTAAAAATAGAAACAAAACATAAATGTAATTATTTAGTTTCAGTTTCAGGGTTAACCGAACAAGATATGGTGACATTTTACTGTATGTGCTGTGTTCTTTTGCTCTCTAATATTTCAGTTGCGATTTGGCTGGCTGTGACGACTATTGCGAGTCGAAAACGTCGGCGCAACAGTAACCGAGCCAACGTCAAGCAGCTGAGCTAACAATACGCAACGTTGCCCTTTTCGTGTCTCGCGTGCGCCCATGAGCATCTGTGTCGGTATCAGTTGCAGAAGTTTTTCGCCGCCATCGTAATCAGTCTGCTTGACACGTATTTAATTATATCGTAGAAAGATAGGGAGAGACAGCCAATCTGTGCGCACAGAATGCGACGTCCTAACGTCAAATGGCTGATAAAGACGGCAGTTCTGGTCCTCTTCTCGGTATTGTTCTTCCTGCTGATCACCAGCTGGATTTCGTCCACTCCATATACGAACCGGCCTGTGCATCACGGCATCGAGCCAGAGGACTCTGCACGGGCAGCGGCACTTCGATCTGGCGATCGACGTGTGAAATATGAGGATGCTGTAAGAATGAAAGCGCAGGCGCAAATTGATGAGCCACAGCATGGAAAGCAGGACGAAATTCTTGATGAACAGGATATGGAAGACTCAGCGAAAGAAGCTGCAGATGACGAGCAAAATCAGGTCGAACCTGAGCAGTTTGATGCAAAACTCCAGAAAGGCGATGAATCCAACTCCGAACTTCAGATGGCTGCGCCCATTGATGATCTCCAAAAACGGGACTGGCACGACTACACGGCCATGGAACGGGATGCCCAACGTGTGGGCATCGGTGAGCAGGGTAAAATAGCCAAACTGGATGATGAGAGTGTCCGTGAAAACGAACAAAAAGTCTCGATAGAGAATGGCTTCAATGGGTTGCTCTCCGATTCGATATCGGTGAATCGCTCCTTGCCCGACATCCGACACATAGAGTGAGTGATGATTTAGACACTTACAGCTTAAACAATGTTGCTAATATTGTCCATTGTCTTTCGCATTGCAGTTGCCGCAAGAAGTTGTATCTCCGGAAGCTGCCCACTGTCTCGGTTGTTATCATCTTTTTCGATGAATATTTGTCGGTGCTAATGCGCTCTGTGCACAGCTTGATAAACCGATCGCCGCCAGAGTTGCTTAAGGAGATTATACTCGTGGATGATTTCAGTGATCGTGCCTATCTCAACAAAGAACTGGAGGACTACATTGTCAATCACTTTGCTGTTGGGCTGGTGCGCGTTGTGCGTTTGCCACAACGTACGGGATTAATTGGTGCCCGGTCGGCGGGTGCACGGAATGCCACAGCCGATGTGCTCATCTTCCTGGACTCGCACGTCGAGGCAAATTACAATTGGCTGCCGCCGCTGCTGGAACCGATTGCGATTAACAAGCGCGCGGCCGTCTGTCCGTTCATCGATGTCATTGATCACAGCAATTTCAATTATCGGGCACAGGACGAGGGTGCACGTGGCGGTTTCGATTGGCAGTTCTTCTACAAGCGTTTACCACTGCTGCCGGAGGATCTGAAGCATCCAACGGAGCCCTTCAAGAGCCCCGTCATGGCTGGAGGTCTGTTTGCAATTTCCGCCGAGTTCTTTTGGGAACTGGGCGGCTACGATGAGGGCCTCGACATTTGGGGCGGTGAGCAATATGAATTGAGTTTCAAGATCTGGATGTGTGGCGGCGAAATGTACGATGCACCCTGCTCCCGGGTGGGTCACATCTATCGCGGACCACGCAAGAGTATACCCAGCCCACGCAAAGGTGACTACTTGCACAAGGTAAAGTAATGCCCAAATAAGTTTATCCATCCATTTGAGCTAATTCATGGTTATTTTACAGAATTACAAGCGCGTTGCAGAGGTCTGGATGGATGAATACAAAAATTACTTGTATGCCAACGGAGAAGGCATCTACGAACGTGTGGATGCTGGTGATTTAACGGCACAGAAAGCGATACGCACGAAACTTAAGTGCAAATCGTTCAAGTGGTTCATGGAGAATGTGGCCTTTGATTTGATGAAGAGCTATCCGCCCTTTGATCCGCCAGACTATGCCAGCGGCGCCATACAGAATTTGGGTGATCAAACAAAGTGCGTCGATACACTTGGACGTAGTCGTCACAATCGCCTTGGCATTTACCATTGTGCCGATGATCTGGTAAGGCCGCAGAGATCGCAGTACTGGTCACTTAGCTGGAAGCGTGACTTGCGGCTGCGCCGTAAAAAGGATTGCATGGACGTACAAATATGGGGAGAGAATGCTCCAGTTTGGTTGTGGGACTGTCACGGGCAACAGGGCAATCAATATTGGTACTATGACTATCAGACAAAGCTGATCATGCACGGCAAGGAAGGCAAACGCTGCATGGAGCTGCTGCCCTCAACAGAGGAGCTGGTGGTCAATAAGTGCGACGTGAGCAACTCGTATATGAGATGGTCCTTTGGTTTTGTGAATAAAACAGCGCTTGACAATTTCAATATAGATTTAGAATTAAAACTTGAATAGTATTAAAACCAAAAAACCGCTCGACACTTGCCATGGTACTTAAAACGCAATTGTGAAGTCTAATTTTGTATTTTATGTAGTTTATATACATAGATAAGTACCTAGTTTTTAAGCAGAATATGGCCCAAAATATGCAATCGCGCACATTCCAATTGTCAGTTGTTAAGTACTTATAAATAATATCCGACTATAAATGAAATTTGACAACGTGTTTAACTTTGTTTGTCGTTTTATTTAATATTAATATCTGGTTGCTTTCAATACGCGTACTTTAAATAAATATAATTTTTATGTTTTACTTCATATTCTTTATATACGTTTATTTTATTTTTATTTTTTTTTTTGTGTTTCAGTTTTGTTTTACAATATGTATCATCATCATTATCATCATCGCATCGGATGCTTTTCAACATCTTCCTGCAAATGATTCTTTTGTCGATCTTTTGCGTGCAGTGGTTTCTAGTGTTTCTCTCATTTTGTGAGTCGACTTTTCATTAAAACTAATATACGCCAATATTTATAGTATATATTCTCAATATATATCATGTTATATATATATATATATATATATATATATATATATATTTTCATTTTCATGCTCTTCATCTTGCGCCCCGCAAATAACTCAAAACACATTGTAAACTCGTGTATAAATTAATAATGGCAAAAAGTTGGTTTTCCTTTTATTTCGAAAATTATATAAAAAGCATTTACAAACTATAATAGTTGTTGGCTTGCGTAATCAGTTAATCATTTAATCAATTATCAATTATCATAATTTATATTTATATATATAAACATTTAAATATTTATCAAAACATGTTTTTTCTTGTTGCTCAAAAGTCTTCTTCGCTGCCTTACATTTACATACATACGTTTTACATTAATGATTCTCCTGCACATTTCTCAGTTTCAGTTTCATCGTCATAATTTCAAATTATAAGCATAAGTATACAATATATTAATTAATAACCATTTTGTGCAAAATAATGTTCATTTCTTGTTTTTATGTTTAAACTAATTTGATTTGAAATTCAGTTGCGCTGCCATTTTGTTTTTTGTTTTTGTTTTTTTTTTTGTTTTGGATGGATGTAAATTAATTGAGTTTGCTTTTTACAACAATCCATGTGTGAAATGATTAAGCAAAATGTTATTTCTTTAGTTCATTTATAGTTGTTTGTTTTTGTGTACTTAATACTTGCTTGGTTTCGAGTCTTTCTTTTTTTTTTGGGATTTTCATTTTTATTTTTCTCCTTTGAATTTGCTTTAACATTTACAGCACATTTCATAAAAAAAAGGATTTTGCCTTTTTTGTTGGGGCACGCATAAATAAATAAAACTTCATCTCTTGCTCTTTATTTTTATATATGTATGTGTGTAGTATTTTTGTATTTTGTTTTTGTTTTTTTTTGTTTTTCGTTTTGCTTAAACTTAAATTATGAATAATGTTTAAAAAATGTCTTGATGCTTTACGCGCTGCTCTTCTATCATTCCATTCACTCTTTGCTTCATTTGTTATGTTTTATGCTTACTTATGTGCTTTTTACGTATGCTTAGCTTAAAATGCTGCCCACCCCAGCCCCCCTCGATGCGTTCAAATCGCCAGACACACACATACAACTACATGCAAAATATGTTAGTATGGAAAATTAATTTGTTTTTTTTTTCATTTTTCTTTGCTTTTGTTTTTGTTTATTTGTTTTTTTTTTTACTTTTATGTTATTGTTGGTTGCCTTTGATACGCTCTCTGTGTGTTTGTGTGTGTGTGTGGGTGTATTCTGTAAGTGTACTTGCAGTTAACGGTAAATCAAATGTGGCAAATGCAGCTTTATTGCGTGCAAAATGGCGATCATCGAATGGGAAAGTCGCTCGGAATGCACCCAAAAATGGCAACATTTGCTGGCAGACAATTCGAATTCGCTTGGCGCTGCAAAGTATGCAACAGCCCCAAAAGATAGTCAAATTGTTGCATTCGTAAAAGTAACGGGGAACAGAAAGTATTTTAAAATAGGTATTTTTTATGTGCTATTTCAGTGTGTCTCTGTAAAAACTTGTTACCAACTATTTAATTATGTTTGTTTTCTTGTTTGCGAAATTCTTTACGTTTTTTGTTTTGTTTGTTTTTGTATTACGATGTTTCTAGTTTGCTTTTTAAAAAATTGGTTTATTTGTACTTTTGGCAATGATCTTTTACGAGTATCCGTCCACTAACAGTTTTTCTTTTAGCTTTTGCTTGCTTTCTTTGTTAACCTTAATTTGTTTTTATTTTATTTTGTTTTCTTTTACTTTTTTGCTCACGATAGAAACTCAAGCAAACATTTCTTTAGCATTTTGTTTATTAGGTATTTTTTTGTTTTAGTTATTAATTTGTTGTTTTTGAATTCTAGTGTTTTGTTCTGTAGTTTGTTTGTTTGTTTGTTTTATAGTGTGTTTGCTGTTTTGCTTCTTAAACAGAAGAAGAGAACAAAAATTAAGGAAAATTATCAACTCATTTAACAGAAATTTGCCAACAATATAGCTGCTTATATAGCTTAATCAACTAAAGTATATTTGTTTTGTTTTTTTTTCGTTTTGTTTTTCTTTAAATACATATATATATATATGTATCTAGCTGCATTTGATTGTTTTTCTTTCTTCCAGTGTATAAACTAGGCATATGTGAGAGAGGGAGTGTGTGTGTGTGTGTGAGTGTGTTTGCTTGTTTGTAGTGGAGTTTTGGTAGTGTATTACTGCATGCTGGAATGGTGACTGGAACTGACACCCGCTGCTGCTGCTGCTGTTGCTGCTGCTGTTGCTGCTGCTGCTGCTGTCCGCCTCCTCTCCTCGTATGGCACACGAAATCAGGATGCGTTTTACAAAAATAATTGTTGTGAGAATATTTCAGTCGTTTGCGGCTTAAGCTTTGAGCTAAACAGCAATTGAGGAGCTAAGCGACAACTATAACAACAACAGCAATAACAACCATAGCAACTACTTTGACTATTACCAATAGTAGTAGTTACCACACATTTGGTGACGATAGGCGCTCAGGTTTGCTGCTGCGTGGGCAGCGACGGCGGTGGCTGCGGCACGCCCCCGGCTGCTGTTGGCGTCTGTGGGGCATTGCTGTTGCTGTTGTTGCAGTTGTTGTTGTTGTTGTTGGCATTGGCGTTGTTGTTGGCGTTGCTGCCAGTCGTGGACGATGTCGGACTGCTATTGCCCTCCTGATAGGGCCCCGTAACCACACATGGGTGCATAGGAAACAGGGTTGTCCACGACGTTGTTGTTAGTGTTGGTGCGTGGAGGGCAACTTTCTCGTTTTTTGGCTGCTCACTGCTGCTGCTGTTGTTGTTGTTATTGTTATTGTTATTATTGTTGTTGTTCGCCTGCGATTTCTTGCTGTTATCGCTCTTTTTCTTTTTACTGCCACTGGCGCCGTTCTTGATGGCATTGCCACCATTGCTTTCCTTTTTAATGCTGGGCATCGCTGGCGTCGCCGCTGTCGCCGTCGCCAGCTGTTCATCATGCATATCCTCATCGTCATCATCATCGCCGGCGGCCTTCTTTAGCAGACGCTCGCGCTCCTCTTTGGCTTTATTGTCGAGGTCCGTGTTGATCTTCTTCACGCGCATCTTCTCCTCCCATTCATCGATGCCGTGCCGCGCACGATTCAAATTGCGATGTTGGTAGAAGATCAGTGTCATCCGAGTCGGCGTATGTCGATCTGGTCGTCGCACTGCTGTCGTTGCATGCATCTCATGCTTGGCACACTCGATCAGCACACTGCCATGATTCAGAGCGATCGCAACGCCGCCCATTTGTGGATCCTGAAACGCTTCGATGTTCTCATTGATTTCGGCCACCTCACCGATGGGTTCAATTTTACTCGAATTGGTGCTGGCGGGCGCCACAGTTGTTGTTGTATTACTGCCAGCTACAGCTGCAGCCGCAGCTGCAGCAGCTGCTGCTGTGTTGCCGTTGGCATCGCTGCTGTTGCTGCTATTACTGTTGTTGCTGCTGATGCCCAACGGGGGTGCTTCAATTATCGGTGCTGCAATGGGCGTAACAATTGGTTCCCCAGCCAGTTGACCATTACTCAAATCTGGCAGAATAGTCTGTGGCGGTGTTACGGGCAACTGTTGCTGCTGCAGCTGCTGTTGTTGCTGTTGATGCTGCTGCTGCTGTTGTAGTTGTTGCTGCTGCTGCTGTTGTTGCTGCTGTTGATGCAGTGGCAACGCTGTTGGCAACACAGGTTTGACAAGAGCCGCTGCTGCTGTCGGCGGAATGCTACCATGTGTGGCTATCATGCTGCCACCTGTCGCTGTTGGTGCTCCCGCCGTGGGTCCATATCCGCCGGAGCTCTGATGATGTCCATAGACATTCCAGTTGGGCGACGGCGGAGGCGGCGTCGGTGGCGGCGTCTGCTGCGGATACATGCCATACGGTGAGTACGCCTGATGATGATACCCATAGTTGTAGTTCATATTCTGATAGGCATCGTAGGCGGAGTATGCCGAATGCGGCGGCGGCGGCGGTGGAGGATACATCTGATAGTTGTTCGGATACTGCGAGTACTGATAATCACTGGGCGGTGGCTTTGGCTTGACGAAACCCTCTGGCGTATGCGGATGATGGTGATGATGGTGGTGATGAAGTGGTGGTGCTAGATTAGTCATGGGTTGCATGGCTGTCAAAGCGGTTAACTTACTCTCGACCAAGGAGTGATTCACAAGCGTTGTCGAGTCGGGATTCTCCTCGCTGACGCGACTCTTCAGCTCACCACCAACAACTGCAGAAATGTCGACACCACTTTGCTGCTGCTGCTGCTGCTGTTGCTGCTGTTGCTGTTGTTGTTGCTGCTGCTGTTGCTGTTGCTGCTGCTGTTGTTGTTGCTGCTGCTGCTGCTGTTGTTGTGCGCTCAATGCTGGTGACGTTAGATTGTTATAGCTCGGCGTATAGCCATTGCTGGCATCATGCTGCGCGGGCGTTGGCGTCACTGTAATGGGCGTGGCGGGCGGCAAAGCGGTGCCAGCTGGAGGAGCAACTGCTGCTGCGGGCGCCGCAACGGGCGCAATCGGTGCAATTGCTGATGCTACTCCGGCTGCTGCTGCCGTTGCTATTGGCGGCGTCACAGTATGCGTATGTTGCACCAGCGGCGCTGCCGGCGTCGTCGGCGTCAATGCAGCGGTACCAGCAGCCATTTGCATCGCATGTGGCGGCCAGTTGCCATAGTAGTTGCGCGAATCAATGTAGGAGCCCGTCTGGTAGTCGTAGGAATAGGGCGAATCCAGCACGGTGCTAGAGATCTGATTCGATTGCAGTTGGGCGTCCGTGAACGTATCGATCATCGTGGCCATGTTCATTAGGCTCGAATTGGAGCTCATCAGTTGGTTGGGTTGGGCGCCAGGTGGCGCTACTGCACCGGCAGCACCTGCAACATTGCTGTTGTTGTTGTTGTTGGGATTGGCGCCGTGTTGATTGACTGGCGGCGTACTGAATGCGCTGCCTGCCGGACTGGGATTGTTGGTGACGGGCGTCTGGCAACGTGGCGATGGCGTCGTTGGCGGCGCTGAACCAGGTGTGGATGCGCTGGAGTTATTCGACTTTGACTTGGACTTTGATTTGCTGTTGCTGCTGTTACTGTTACTGTTGCTACTGTTGCTGTTGCTAGTACCGTTCTCCTTCTTGATGGCAAGGGCGGGCGGACTGCTCTGCTGCGATTGCGTTTGCTGGGCACCATTGCTGGAGCTTTGACTGCTCCCATCGGCGGCGGCATCCTGCTCGCCATCCGGCGTTGCCGGCTCATCCTCTTTACGCTTTTTGCCATGCCGGCGACAAGGTATCAACGGCGTGGAACGCACGCGTACTTCGCAGGGGAATCTATGTGGGAATGAGCGAAGCAAGATTAAAGATTAATGCTTGTTTTGATGGCGCCGAGCTGCAACTGGTAGCTCAAAACTCAACACTACACTCACTTGTCCAGCATTTGCACGGCACCGGTGCGATGCTTGTCGCGCTGCCCCTCGACGCTCTCGAACTCGTCCGTGCCGTCCATCGTGTAGAGCGGCAGGACATGGAACTGCTCGTCGTCGGGCAGGCGGCTATCGCGATTACCGGGCTTCAACAGTGCCACATGGACTGTGCAGCCATCCTGCATGTTGTGCAGATCGCGATGCGAGTGCGCACAAAAGTCCAAGCAGGCTGTCACACCAGAGAAGGGTTTACCCGGCTCCAGGCCCAGTCGGCAGTCGGATGCCTCATGCTCGTACTTTGTCTGATTGTCATAGGAGCGTGGACACACTTGCTTAAAGACCGGCGCCAGCAGTGTCGCTATCAGATTCATGTGATCCTCGATCGCTGCCTCTTCACTCTTCACAGACAGCCGAAACTTGCGCACAGTCTTGGAGCGTGCATATTTGCAGCCATTGTAGTACATGGACCAACTGCATCCAAAGCTGTACGACGCCCCAGACGTCTCCGGATCCAGACCTGCAAATACGAAATGATAATATAATCGATTAACAAATATCAACACCTGATATTGTCATACTCAATGAGGGGGAGAGTTGGGAACTTACCTTGGCAGGCACAGGTGCGATTCTCATTGGTGGCGCAACGGCGCGTGGTGGGTAAACCATATTTGTTGAGCTTGGGTATCAAATTCTTGTAGGCATTGTCCGCCTCCAGACGCGGCACTCCATCCCAGGCCACCATGCACACCACAATGTAAGCGGCAATACATCTAAATGGGTGAAGGATTCATAATGCACAAACTTTCTATCAGGTGGTTGTTGATAGTTTTGACTTACCTGTGACCGGGTCGCTTTTTAACCACAACCAGTATCTTCTCTTCGGGATCGGCACGACGAATCACCCACTTAGCCACGGGGCAGCCCTGCGTGGTTTTGCCCTCTTTGCCTGTGTAGACGATCTTCTCGATGCGCAACTGACGACCCGTTAGCTGGCAGCGATCCTCAAACTCGCGTCTTAGCTCCATCAGCGAGGAAGCTGTGCCTGTGTGGACATGAGAGCTGGGTTAGATCTTGATGTGATCTGATTATAATTAGATTAAACTTACCCAGATGTGTGTAATAGGTGCCCGGTTCGGGTGGATTCTTGTCGGACTGGAAGCATTCGCATTCTGGTATTTCCGTCTTGTTGCCCTTTTCGAGACGATCCGTTGTATCGAACATGGGATTGATTTTCTCATGCTTTACAACTATCTCGGGTATCTCGTCTTGTTTCTGCTTCTTCGACTTGGCCTTGATGCCGTTGTGCGCTTCAGCGAGCTCATCCTCATCCAGTAGTTCCTCCTTGGGCGTTATGCCCAATCCCAAGCAGGTGCCATCCTTTAGATGCTCTGCAGTCGGAGGCCGGGTGCCGCCTTGGCGACAACACGAGAAGCCATTGTTGATTGGCTTACCTTCGCCCAGATAGGGATAGCCATGACTATGACCATGTCCATGTCCCAGCATGCCCATATCCTCCAGTTTCGGCTCCAGCATGCCATGGTGACTGAGGTGGGGCGGCGGCGGCGGCGGTCCACCATGTCCGAGTGCATAACGATGCGCCGGAATGGGATACGCATGCGCCGGTATATCCTTCTCATAGTTGGTGGGCAGTGGTATAATGCTATTCGTGTCCGGTTTCCTTTCCAGCTCAAGCATGCTATTGCCACCATGCCCATGGCCGTGTGGTCCATGATGCGATGCATTCGAGGGTGGCTTCCCGCGACTGCCATAAGCCGCTGCCTGATAACCGGGCACAAAGCTCTGCTGGAAGTTCTGCTGGAAGCTGCCTGCTCCGGCGCCATAATACGCCGAATTGTGATGATAGCCAGCATAGTCCTGCTGATGTTGATGCTGTTGCACTGGCTGACCTTGACCATCGTTCTGACAGAAGTCCGCATACTGTATAAAGTTCTGATAGTTCCGCTCGTAACCCTCCATTTTATTGGGCTGTCCGCCAGGCGGCATCAGACCCGGCTCCGTTTTAATATACTGCCCGTGGTAGTCTTGACTGCTACCCGGCGGTGGCGGATAGTGTGCGCCCAGCGCTTTTAGTCCACCCCCCGGATCATTGGCATTGCGATCTCTCTCGATTTCGGCAGCAGCTGCCTCTGCAGCAGCGGCTGCAGCACGACTCGCCTTGCTGCGACTGCGCGACTTCTTCGGCTGCGGCTGGGGAGGCACCGGCGGCTGCTGTTGCTGCTGCTGCTGCTGTATGGGTTGTGGTGGGGGCGGTGGTGCGACTTCGGCATGACTGATGGTTGTGTGCTGTCCGGGTTGGTGTTGCTGCAGTTGCAGCTGCAACTGATGATCTGTGCCGGCATAGTTGCTGCTGCCGCCCACGCTGGGCTTCTTAAATGAGTTGGCGTGATGCGGCTTCCAGATGTGATCGCCACCACCTCCGATTGGCTCGGCAACGCCCAAGGACGTTGGTGTGACGCTGCTCGAACCGTTGGCGCTCAGCGCCGTCTCGGGCCGGAGATGGTGGCTATACGATAAAAAATGACCGGTCTGTTGTTGTTGCTGCTGCTGTGCGGCTGCCACTGGCGGAGCACCCTGCAGCTGTATATCGGGTGGCGCATCCTTGGAGTCACTCTTGCGCATTATCATGGACTTGATCCGAGTATTCAGATGCAAGCGTTCACCCTGCGCCGCATAACCATCACTGGCGTGCTGATGCTGTTGCTGTTGCTGCTGAGCAGGCGGCGGCTGTTGCTGCTGCTGCTGTTGCTGTTGGTTGCTCCAGTTCCAGTCCTGCATGGGCGGTGAACCAAGATGTGGATGCGTCTGCTGTTGGACGCTGCTGCCGTATGGCTGCAGTCCATTGCCATTGGGCGAGGGCGGCACTTGGTTTGGTGACTGGGAAACAAGGCGTGGCTGCTGCTGTTGTTGCTGCTGCTGCTGCTGCACCTGTTGAACCTGCTGCTGCTGAATGAGACTGCGCGTTGGTGATGGTGGCACGGTTTGTGACTGTGTTTGCATTGGTGAGCCGGCTGGTTGGGCCACCACAGTGCCAGCGGCAACTGGCACCGCTGTGGGTGTGGCTGCAGCGCTGGGCGCTGCCGTTGTCGTCTGTTGTTGTTGCTGTTGTTGTTGTTGTTGCTGTGAAGAACCGCTGTAGTCGCCTGGATACCCGTTACAGTTGAGTGAGCGCGGCGGCACGCTGCTCACCCGCGGATATCCAGGCGTGTCGTTTCCCGACATGCTCTTGTTCAGATCAGCACCAAGATGTTGCTGTTGCTGCTGCTGTTGCTGCTGTTGTTGCTGCTGCTGCTGCAGACCGACTGCAGGTGGCGCCGGCGCTGTGGACACTTGACCGGCATAACTAACGCCGCCGGGCGCAAAGCCAGCGGCAACACTTTGGAGACCCACTTGATTGATTGGCGCACTGGAGAGCTGTTGGCTCTGGAAGTCGTAACGTTGGACCGGAGCACCGTATGGTGAGCGACCGTAGTTGGGATCGAAGCCGAGACCCGTCTGCACGTAGCCATTTGATGGATAGGCGTAGGACTGTGTCTGGAAATCCAACGAGTTGAGCGATGTGATGGCTGGAGTATTCTGTGGTATTTGCTGTATGAACTGATTCTGCCAGCCCTGCGATGGATCCGCCTGCCACGTCGGATAGAAGGCCATGGGTGCCTGCAATATGCCAGAAGTCAAGTTGTCAATACATAGTCTGTTGACTGATTCTGTGATAATTGTTTTCTTTTATAAAAAAAAGTTTCCATAAATAAATGTTATAACCTTTAAAATATGCCTTTTCCCGGAAATGTTTGAGTACTTGATTGGACATTTCAATTAAGTGCGTTCAATTTAATCAGCACGACGGAAACAGGAAGCTATCTTACGATATATATTTATATATATGGCAATAAAGCATAAATATGTGAAGCCAGTGGGAATTGACATACATATATCGAATAAGCTTATGCAATCTATCAACATTATTTCAACATTTATTTAAATTGCGTACAGCTATAAACTATAAAAATAAGTTTGACTTATTGATTACATTTTGTTTTAATTCACCTTTCGTTTTATTGTTCCTTTTATTTCGACTTTAGCTGAGTAAGCTCTAAATATATACATAATGACCACCCCCTCCACAGATCAGTTCAAGCATTTGGCAGTTTTCTAACCACCCCTTTTTTTTCGCACCCTTAAGGGTAGAATTTTCTTCAACTAGCTATTGCCTTTTAGCATTGTTTTCCTGTTCCTGTTGCTGCCGAGCGTAAATCAAATTAGCCGCGCCCTAATTTACCGACCCACTAATTGGCCCAAGCCCCCAAACAAATAAACACACACAAACACAAAAAAGACCCGACAACATGCCAAATATTTATAAGCGACTTCCGCTTGTGGGGACGGACCCAAATGCTATTAATGCGGTTTGTTTGTTATTTATTAGCGCGCCTTAAATTATGCTACACATTTTTTTGGTTTTCTGGCAAACAAAACACGGAACAACCCAAAATACAAAATTGTATTCGCTTTTGTGTCGATTTCATTTTATTTGCATTTTACGAGATCAAAAAATTATGAAAGTGAAATTTTCTACATATGCAAACAAATAGCACGAATAACAATGGGCAACTGCCAGCGACAGACGCACAATAAAATCAAATAAAACATAAATTTATATCCAACAATTTTAATAGCTTGTTTATTTTGCGAGTTTTATAGACTTCACCGGTTGGGCTTGGGTGCGACTGTATTTGCTTTTATGCGTTGCTGTACAAATTTGGGCTTTATTTTTGTCTATCTACGTAGTTATGTATGGGCACCTGGTGCTGACAGCTGCGATGCTATTGTTGTTGTTGTTGTTGTTGTTACTGCTGCTGTGTGGTCTGTGTTTTATTTTTGAAAGCATTTAGCAATCATTGATAAAAATCGAAAAATGGTTTATGAATGAACGAGTCTGCATGAGAAGCGTGTATTGCCTATGTATCGCTATATGTGTGAGTCTGTGTGTGTGAGAGAGAGAGAGAGACCAGTTGTGTGTGGTTTGCCTATCTGTCTGCCTGTCCGTCCCTCTTCTCGGTTCGTTTGTGTGCACAGCTGCAGTGGATATGCCAATGACGTATACGCAACGTTGTCGAGAGGCGAAATACACACGCACACAAAGTTTGTGATATTTTTGTTTTGCTGTTAGCAATGAATGGAAAACGAAATGAACTGATTGACTAGCCAATCGTTTATGAAGGTCAATGCTCGCTGCCAGTTTTGTTGTTATTTGTTCTTCTTATTGGTGTTTTAATTGGAAAATTGCAAAATGAAATTGAAAATGTTGTGGTTGCACTTACCATGGGTTGTTGCGGTTGATCCTTCATGGTTTGAATTTGTGCGGTTATTTGATGCTGCTGCTGATGCAAATGCTGATGTTGCTGCTGCTGCTGCTGTTGCTGTGCGTGCTGCTGCTGCTGCTGCTGATGGTGTTGCGTTTGCTGTTGCTGCTGCTGTAAGTGCTGCTGTTGCTGAAAGTGCTGCTGTTGCTGCGGCTGCTGTTGATAGTGCTGCTGCTGTTGCTGTTGTTGATGTGACAGCAGTTGCTGCTGTAGCTGTTGCTGCTGCTGATACTGCTGCTGCTGCTGCAAACTGCCACCCGTTGTGGCAACTGTTGCTGTTGTAGTATTTGGCGATTGCTGTGGCAACAGTGTTGCTGCAGGCACTGGACTTAGACGTGGTGATGTTGCTGATGCGGCTGCAATGGCACCAGCGGCTGCATTCAGTTTATTTGCTTTGGTGGAGGTTTTACGGGCTCGTGACTGCAAAAAGAAACAAGAGAAATAAAATATAAGAAAATTGTTCACAAATTGTTAGTTAGCTAATGGATGGCATTGACAAAAATAGCCGTAACGCGCTTAAATATATATGAGTGCATAAATTATGGAGCAATTTAGTGCCTGTTGCTGTTGTTGCTTGCGTTTTAAATTATATGCAATTAATTTATGGCACTCGCTGTCGCTGTTGCTGTTGCTGTCACTGTCACTGTTGCTGTTGCTGCTACTCTGCTTGTTGATATTGTTGTGGCTTTATTGTGGGTGTCTCCGGCTTGACCTTCATGGCAACAGCTGCTTTATGTTATTTGTCTTTCGTTTATGCCCTAATTGCGCAATGCAGCTTGGAGCAGTTGCACTTAGTTACTGTTTGTGTGCGTGTGTGAGTCTCGCGGCAATTAGTTGAATAATTTTATTTTTTTAATTAAGGAAATTTGTTAGACGCGCAAATATTTTAATTGCCACATTTTGTAACATTGTCCACCCTCCTCCCCCCCATTCTGCCTCTGGATCGCTCCGCTTGCTTTTTGCCAACGCTTATATAATTTATGCTTGCAGCGGACACATAATTTCGACTTGTTTTTGAGTCTGCACGCCGGCAACATGTAAAATTTATGTGGCCAGCGATTTATGTGCAATTTATTTGTGCAGCCAAACACACACACACACACACTCACATACATATATCTATATATATAATAAAAAAAAATGCAGCAAGTAACAACAACAGCTACGACGACGATAGCGAAAAACAGCAACAGCAACAGCTGCGGTTGCCATTTATTGTTGTTGCCGTTGTTGCTGTTACTGCTGCTGGTGCTTGGTCTAAAATATGTTGCGCGCGCCATTAAAGGCTGCGACAATTTATGTTTATAAAAGACTTTTTGTCGTTTTGCGCACTGAGAGCGCTGCTACAAAGTTAGTTGTATTTTATTTAAAATATTACTCTTTTGTATAGATTTTAAAATAAAAGATAGCTGTCTAGCAGCAAATTCCACATAACTAAATATCATTTATATAGATAAAGTAGTTTGACTTTGATAAGCAGCCCAAAAAACTCTTAAGAAAATATATCTCACAAATTTATAAAATTTGCCACTTCACTATCTCACTTAAGTGTGTGTATTTTCAGCTGTATATTATCTAAATCAAATACTTAATTTATATTAAACTGATTAGCAATTCTATATCTTGCCTTGGTCCCAAACTAGCTAAATTTAATTTTATTCCATTTAATTGATAAGCCAAATAAAATTCTTATATTTGATGATAGAGCATGTGATGTGATTATAATTATTTCTCAATTATTTAGCCAATCTTTATGGTTGCTTTTTTATTTTGATTATTATATTATTTGATTGCACAGCTCAAATTTGATTTATAATTTTTGCTTCAATTGCTGTTCTTATCTTTGCATATTGCAAAAGGCAAACCACAAATTGGCTAAGCTGTATAGAGCTTCAGATTGGCCAATTAAAGAGGCTTATTTCTCGAATTTCTAGAACTTTGGCAGACAATAAATACATTTTTGCACACACACACACACACGTACACACATACAATTTGCATACAGCAACAAACCAAATCGTTTGTGCAAATTGCCTGCAAAAATATGATTTATATTTAACACATGAGTAAAATATATTTGCCAGCGCTGTGTGTGGATGTTAGGATGTTTGTGTGTGCGCCCGTAATACAATACAAATACGACAGTAACAACAACAACAACAACAACAAAAACAAACAGGACCAACAAGGAATTGGAATTCAAATGCCTCTTCGACTCTCGACCCCAGCTGGTGACAAAGCAACAAAATAACTTAAGCAAACACAGTTCGATCCTTTTGTGCATATACTCGTATTTCCCAAAAGGGGGAGGGCGGGTGGAGGGATGTTAAAGCTTTTTGAAAATATTTGCAATGCAAACAATGTCGCAGGTGCCACAAAAAAAAATTAAATAAAAAAAAAATTACATGAAATAAATAAAAAAAAATTGAAATAAATTTGCACGCAATTTAAATTCGAAAATTGCCAATTATTTGTGTGCAGATTTTCTTATGATAATATACGTAAAATAAATACGTATACGTAGATGCAATGCATGTATGTGGCATATATGGCATTAATTAAGATTTTTGCACGTTGCACAGTGTTTGCTTTGGCCATGGCAAACATGACAACAGCAACGAAAGGCGATAGTTGAATAAAAATGGCAAAAACCATAAAAACATAGAGATAAATACCCTAACAAGATAGTTAATGTATTCAATTCGTAATTAAAATATGTCAAAGAACGAATATTTATTATAAAAATACACAATAATAGTTTTTTAATTGATTGTTGCACCACAAAGCTACCCTGTAAAACTAAAACCCGTTTGACTATCCTAGATATAAATATCATCTCAAATCTAAGGGTATACCAGTCAAATCACATTTCAAGCTGCATTTTTCCACTATTTACCCAGTTCATAAAAGTTAATTAAATGTTTATGATCGTCGCTTGTTTGCACCATGGTGACTTTACTTTATTTTAGTTGGTTTTTTCCCTCGAGACCTTACAATTTTTTGTCGTGTGTTCTTTTTTTGTTGTTTTTTTTACTATGTCAATGCATTTTATTTATTTCTTGTTAAAACAAACAAATATAAAGCAAAGAGGCGAAAAGATAGAAACAGATGGAGATTAGTGGCCTCTTATCTTAAGAGTACAACAACAGCAACAAACAGCTGCAACGTGCAACGAACTAAACGATGTGGCCTTCGGCTTCAAACACAGAGAGACAAGAGACAGAAGAGGGGCTAAACAGAAACCCAACTCCTCCACTGACCCCCTGTGCAAGTAAGTTGCCATCAGTTTTTTTTTGTTGTTTTTATTTATTTTTTTACTGAAAATGCGTTGAAAAGAAAATTGCGCGCTGAGTAAACAGCAATTAGTTATGTGTGTGCGAGTGTGTGTGTGTGTGTGTGTGAGTATATTACTATTTACATTGAATTGCGCGCTGTGCTGATAAGCAAGAAGGAAAATACTCGTATTAAATTCGAAATAAAATAAAAGGTAAAGTGAAGTAAAGTATTTTTAGTTCGGCTTGAGCGACGCGGCCGATGCGCCACAATGCATACGACTGAGCAGGCTAATGGCTTATATAAGTATATATACATATGCATGCATATACCCAAGTTGCACTCATGTATGTAAGTACATATGGGTGCAACAGGGAAATGTGGCACATTTGCAGGGTAGTAAATTATGCGCCAGATAGCAGAGAAGATAAATACTTTATTAAAAAAATTAATGAAGATCATATTTGGATTTGCTGTTTCGAGGTTTATAGATAACTCTTTCATAATGCATAAAATGATAATTAGCCTTGTCTGCCTTTTATTCCTTATTATCGCAGATAAATAAATAAAATTTTATCTTAAGACTATTTATAGGGCATTTATGATACTTTTCTATTAATTATAAGTGAGTTTTTGAATAATTGGTTCGACTGGAATAATCTTGAGCAATGTAACTGCTAGCAACAACAAGCTGGTCTATCTACCACACACCCTTTCCTCACTCTCTCTCTCCCTCTCTCTCTCTCTAGCTAGCTGTCTTTCTCTGACATTGATAAGAGCGAGGACAGAATGCCATAATAATAACACCTCGAGCCCAAGTATTTGTGAGTGTGCGTTGTGTACCCTGTCATAAATTACACACATAACAGGGTATGCCATATAAATTATTTACATGTCCCCAACGTCAAAGTCTGCTGATAAGTTGAGCGAGAAAAACAGGCAAAAGCAAGAGCAACAAATAACGAATAAATAAATAAATAAAAAAAGGAGGAAGAACAAGGTGAAAAGCAGCGAAAACTGAATGCAGCGATATGTAAATAAAATATAAATAAATCAAATATTAGTTATCATGTTTTCTTCGCTGCGTTATGTGTGTTTATATTCCTCCTTATCTGCATGAGTCAGCTGTAAGGCAAACAAGAAATATGGAGAGAAATTGATTCGGGAATCACAGAGCACATATTCGAAAGAAATAATTCAACAATCGCCTTAACAATAAATGGTTGTAATAGTCGAAGTCCTTTGCAATCCCAGACAAATACAATTGCTCCCTGGATTTAATCACAAAACAGATGATGGCATAACTGAATCAACACTGAGTAGAAACGAGTTGCAATTAAAACTCGAGCTGAAAGTAAATCCTCTCTTGCAAAATGGCTGCTGCAGCAAAATGTTACAATTTACCAGACAGAAAAGTATACATTCCGATTTGCTTTAATGGTGTATGCAATTTCTATGATTGTGCAGGCAGCTCCTCACCCCGGCAAATCTCTCGCTCTCTCTCTAACTCTGTCTGTCTGTCTTCCGGCGGCAGCTCAAATATTTAACTTGTATTTCGTATTCATGCTAATTTTGCACATTTTCCACAATTTTCTCACCCACAAGGCGAGGCGTGCACCACCATCTCCGCTTTGGCTAGCGTCCTGTACAAAATGCTTGCATTATTATCCTGCAGGCACTGGCTGGCCAGCCTTTCACAGCAGACTCCTGGCTCTCTTCAATTTCTTGCTTGTGGATGGACACTGTGTGGCTGAATTGTTGGCTAGCTGCTTGTTGGTTGGCTATCTACTTGCATACACACACACACATAAATTACTGACTGCAGAGTGGGTGGTGGGGTGTGTGTGTGTGTGTGCGTGTGTGTGTAATTGCACGTGCCGAGTGTGCGCTGTGTTGATCGAGCCACATACAGTCTCCTTTTTATCCTCTGCTCTGCTTTACTCCAGCTTGTTAGCATGTGTCGATATTTATGTAAGTGTGTGCCTGTCTGTGTGTGTGCCTGTCTGTGTGTGTGTGTGTATGTATTTTTATTCAATTTAGCTTTCAATTAGGCTGCAATTGTTCGTTTGTTCGCTGCGCTGCTTTGCATTTTTAAACAGTTCCTGTTCCTGTTCCTGTTCCTGGCTACCCAGAGTTGAAGCCACTCA